AGCTTGATGGGAAACTCTGAGGCTGGTTCCCCATCAGGTCTGCCTTGCATGTGATTGACAGTGCATGGCAGTGGGCAGATTTGAAAGGACTGAGTGGTGGCTATTGATCCTCCCACTGCCATGCTTCAATCAAAAGTAAAGCAGACCTCATAGGGAACTCTTGTCTAAGCTTCACCAACCTCTTGTGTGAAACCACTCATCCTTGCACCTGTCAGTATGGCCGGGATGGGGGTTGGAGGGTTAGGGGGAGTGCACTGTGGAAGGAGTGTTCCGTATGGACACTGTGTCCTCAGTGCTGGCATTGACAGATTTATGTAGCTGAATCAGGCACAAGCACCTTCACTTTCTGTGTTGTGTCTTCACAGAATTTTAAAGGGTGTCTATTACACCCCAATATGAATTCCCCAGAATGTGTTCAAATCTAAAAATATTATTTTTGTGTTTTTTGAAAAACTATGTTCAAGCAGTGCCATTTCAGTTTATAATCCCAGGAAAGGGGTATGATATAAAGGATTAATGTGATATCTCCCTGTAGAGTGGCACAGAATAGCTCAAGGAGCTGCAAAATCAATTATAAATACTTCTCTAATTGAAGCCAACTCTAAAGTACTAATGAGATGGTACATGGTCCCTGCTAGAATTGCTCAGTGGGAACCAGGAGCCTCCCCTCAGTGTTTCCGAGGTTGCGGCCAAGAAGTTACAGCCTATCATGTCTGGTACACTTGTCCTAAAGTCCGTAGGTTTTGGATCCTCATCTATTCCTTTATCAATTCCCTTACAGGGAAGCAATGGTTTAGGGAAGCGATTGTGCTATCAAATATTAAAGCGGAGTTCCACTTGACCTATCAAAAAATAAAAGTCAGCAGCTACAAAAACTGTAGCTGCTGACTTTTAAAAAAAAACAGCCACTTACCTGTCCCTCGGTCTAGTGGTGTGTCCCCCGCAGCTTGTTTCACCAGCCGTCCTGTATTCCAGGAGGCCGGCATCTTCAGTGTGGGCACCCGGCTGTGATAGCTTGCGGCTTCACAGCCGGGTACCCACTGCACATGTGCGAGTAGCGCTGCGCTTCGTAAATGGTCCTGTAGTCTTCTGGGACCTGTCATGTGTCCCAAAAGACTACAAGGAGGGAGGGAGGATACCTTCCGTTTCCGATCGCCTAGGCGATCAGACCGAAGTGGGAGCGGGTACCTGTCAAATTCAGGTACCCGCTCCCCCCACCGCTCCCCAAACATGCCAATCCTTAATGGGGAGCGGTCCTTAAAGCAGAACGTCCCCTTTTGGATGGAGCTCTGCTTTAAATTGAGGGTGCCAATAATTTCGACCAGTCCATTTTGGAGGTTTTGTGTGGAACGTGTCAGATTGACTTTTTGTTTCTCTACTTTTTTGGGTTATACCAATTCAAACAAAAGAAATAAACATGAGAATGCCTAAACATTTGTAATTTCTACAATTCTCTGGGTAAAGTGGTGCAATATCTGACAGAAATGCAGGGGTGCCAATATTTTTTGGCAATGGCTGTATGCATTTTTCCACTCCATTTTACTAAATATCATGCATTGATATAGACTAATAAATAATGGATATGTCAGAGATTTTTATTATCGTGACATATACAGTTGTGGCCAAAATTATTCAACCCCCACTGAAATTGAGTGTTTTGGCCAGTTTGACATTGCTTTTGATCATTCAGTCATCTTGCTTACATTTACATTAAAGAGGCACTTGTAGGTCAGACAAATATAAACATAACAGTTATAATGAAATAACCACAAATGTCTTTTCTGTGCTCACAGCATTATCAGTTTTATTCAACCCACCGTGACATTCAATCTTAGTACTTAGTACAGCATCCTTTTACAGTTATAACAGCTTTTAAACGTGAAGCATAGCTTGACACAAGTGTCTTGCAGCGATCTACGGGTATCTTCGCCCATTCTTCATGGGCAAAGGCCTCCAGTTCAGTCACATTCTTAGGCTTGCGCACTGCAACTGCTTTCTTAAGTCCCACCAGAGGTTCTCAATCGGATTTAAGTCTGGTGACTGCGATGGCCACTCCAAAATGTTCCAGCCTTTCCTCTGCAACCATGCTCTAGTGGACTTGGAGGTATGCTTGGGATCATTGTCCTGTTGAAAGGTCCAACGTCTCCCAAGCCTCAGGTGTGTGACGGACTGCATCACGTTTCCATCCAATATCTCCTGGTACTGAAGAGAATTCATGGTACCTTGCACACGCTGAAGCTTCCCTGTACCTGCAGAAGCAAAACAGCCCCAAAGCATGATTGACCCTCCACCATGCTTCACAGTAGGCAAGGTGTTCTTTTCATCATAGGCCTTGTTCTTCCTCCTCCAAACATAGCGTTGATCCATGGGCCCAAACAGTTCTAATTTTGTTTCATCAGTCCACAGAACACTATCCCACAACTTTTGTGGTTTGTCCACATGGCTTTTGGCATACTGCAGTCGACTCTTCTTATTCTTTGGAGACAGCAAGGGGGTAAACGCCTGGGAGTTCTGGCACGGAGGCCTTCATTACGCATGTGCGTCTTATTGTCTGGGCTGAAACTTCTGTACCCACATCTGACAAATCTTTTCTCAGTTCCTCAGCAGTCACACGGGGACTTCTCTCCACTCTACGCTTCAGGTAGCGCACAGCAGTCGAAGTCAGCATCTTCTTTCTGCCACGACCAGGTAGCGTTTCAACAGTGCCCTTTGCCTTGAATTTGCGAATGATGCTTCCTAAGGTGTCTCTTGGTATGTTTAACATCTTTGCAATCTTCTTATAGCCATTGCCCTTCCTGTGAAGAGAAATCACCTCTTCTCTTGTCTTCCTGGACCATTCTCTTGCCTTCACCATGTTTGTAACCACACCAGTAAATGTCTAGAAGGAGCTGAGTATCACAGTCATTTTAAAGCTGCCTAATTGGTGCTTATTATGCTTGATTGCTGCTCGGTGACATCCACAGGTGTTTTCAATACCTGATGGAAAGCACCTGTATGAACTTCAGAGTGGTAGTCTTTAAGGGGTTGAATAATTGTGGCAATGAAGAAACCACATAAGAACCATTTACTACTGTATTACATAAACAATTGATGTCATTTTAGTTGCATTTGGGTAGTTACAACGTCCTTGTAGGATTTGATTCTGAATACAATTCCAAATGTACACTATAGTCCCTAAACCCCTTTACAGCATTGGGGGTTGAATAATTTTGGCCACAACTGTATTTCCATTAGGTACCCAAATTAAATGAAATGCCTTGAAACCCAAAATTACAAGGGACTATGTATCATGCTGCTTGAATGGGACAGGAATGTATGCTTGTTCCACATTGTGACAAATGTGGGCAGTTCTTGGCAAGAACATAGAGACAGTCATCACATTCTGTGTGCATTAAATATATCTCTGTGTTCTCTACAGTCTAATTTTCTGTGCCAGAAATATTTCCTCTATGAGAACCAATATGACGTGAGATGTTAGGCAGTTAAAAAAAACAGCTGATTTCTCGAATGCGACCAAACATTCAATGATCTCTGATATGTCCATGTCTGTGCTGCAGTTTACAGTTGACCAGTAATAATATGGCAGACTGGACTTGAGCTATAGGAGAACATATTTAGTTCCTCAACAACTAGCAAGCCACTGGAACATTTACCAAGCTCTGATATACCATGAACCAGAAAGGAACATAGGGGCTCCTTTTTGTTTCTATTGCTGACTAGAGCGGGCAGAGAGAGTATGGAAGTGATGTACTTTCTCTCTGCCACCATTATGAAGTATGAGAGGAGCAGCACACTACAATTAATATAGAAAATGGTCCTAATGTAGTCATTGGTAGTTCCTTGCTGAAAAAAAAAAAAATCATCCATTTCCTGTTGTGTGATAAGTCTGTGAAAGACTTTTTTTTTTTAACCCCTGAATACTTTTAGGGACAGTTTACGCCATAGAATTGCAGTGTGGATGTGTTCCAGATGCATTTCCGTATGCTCATTTTTTACGTGTTTTGATGCGTTCCGTGTGTTTTTGATGTGTTACGGTTTATTTTTTCCCTCTCTCTTTTTCTTCAACTTAAATAAAGATGTGTGTTCCAGTGTGTTTTTTTTTTTTTTTTTGCTTTTTGATGTATTTTACTGCTTTCCAGTACAGTTCAGTGCAGAAAAAAAATGCAGCATGTTCTACTTTTTCTTCTCGAACTGGAACGCACTGGAACTGACTGCACTGGTGTGAAATTTGCCATTGGAAACCATGTAACCTATCATGAATGCATTTTTGATGCAGAAAAAATGCACTGGACTGCATGTGCTGGGAATTGGCCCTTAGTGCTATAAACAGAGAAGGCAGACATATTGAAGAAAACATTTTCATTTTAAAAAGTATTTCAGACTAAAAACTGTGTCAAATAACATGGAAGGCTTATTTGCCTACATTATTGGTTAAACCTTTTTGGTTTGCAAAAGTAGAACATTTAGGAAGAATAATTATTTTGTGAAACTATAACCTGACAGGTTTAGTGAGGTGGGCCAACAGGAACCAAACAGCCTTCTTGCTCCATAGAGCCATGTTAGAAGCAGTTGGTATCTACATGTCTCATTCTGTTGTCTTAAAAATATGTTTCTTTCTTATTTTAGGATAGTGGGTGAGGCCATTCAAATCATTCCTTTCTGCCACTTGGCCAACTGTTCATGAAGAAATGCTGGTTTTATAGTATAAATGCAGCCCAATTTTTATAGAGCAGTTTATTTCAAACTGCATACAGCTGTTTTATGCATAATGGCCATCATCAGTGCTGTGCACAGGCAGTGTCTTTAGTACCAACAAGAAATTATAATCTCACAAGTTATGATGAGGAAGGCCAAAAGCATCCAAAAATCAACCATTGTTTACCACAGTAGAGGCATCTTAAAACTGAGCATTTCTGCATGTTTCAGTTCCAACGCAAATCTAAAAAAATAAAAAGGATAGTGGGTAGAGCTATAGATAAACTTTACACTTTGTGGTGAGGGGACATATTAACAGAAGTAACAGTACAAGCTCATCTGGTGGTCAACCTACTTGGTAGGCAGCGCCTGACATCACCAAAGGGCTGAACCAGGGGCGGACTGACAACTCATGGGGCCCCCGAGCAATAGGGGATCATGGGGCCCCTGTGTCCTTGCTCAAACTCAAAAAAGCCTATGAAAAAGGTACCAGGGGCATCTCAAGGGGCCCCCTACTGACCTCGGGCCCTCGGGCAGTGCCCGAGTTTCCAAATGGTGAGTTCGCCCCTGGGCTGAATGTAAATACAATGTATGCAATGCTACAGAAAATGGTCAGAGACTTGGAAGTACTACAGTACACGGTCAGAGACTGTAGGCATGCTAGAGAAAAGGAGCAAATATACAAAATGAGAAAAAAAATGGACAGCACAGAACAAGTAAAGAAGGGTGAAAGAAATAAACCAAATCAATTAATCAACTATTATTACACAGGATTTATATAACGTCAAACATTTGCGCAGCACTTTACAAACTGGAGGGAGACAGAACATTCACAATACAATTTAATACAAAAGGAATCAGAGGGGGGCCTGCTCATTAGAGCTTACAAGAATTCAGCTTATAGAATATTTTCCTTCACTGTCTCTGAGCAAACACCTAGGAATAGAAAAACTGACCACTCCCCGATGGGGCCTAATGGTCACACGGGAAGTACCAAAGGGCTGCGAGTTGGACACCAGGGATTTAGATGCTTCCATTTGTACTTAAATTAAATGATGAATAACTAAGTTAAGCCTCACTGATTTCTTGAGCACTGTCATGAGACACTCAAGTGTAGAGACCCTCAAGTGTATTTGCAGACCTAAATTCGACCCATACTCTTCCAGGTTTGAATAAGGGAGGCTTGGCCACCAGCAGTGTTGTGTACGAAACAGTAGTCATAATATGGAAATCCCATATCAATGAAAATGTTGCTGTCTTTTCTGTAATAGTAATTGTATACAGTGTAATTTCTCTCCCTTTTTCCGAGGCTCTGCATGTATCTGCCCCAGTGTTTGTCCTGAAAGCATGCATCACAGATCTCTCCCAGCAGAGAGAGAACAAGCTGTCACCAACAGCTCTTGTACTACTGAAAGAAAGTCTGTGTGTGAAATAAAAGAATAATAACAAAGATAAAATAGCTAAATCAGAGCTTGATCTAGGTTAGTGTCAGAGTTTGTGTGTCACCATCATTTTAGGGGGGATACAAATTAAAAACACAACTCCTACTACAGCTACAACGCCAATTCCAAACAAAAACCTGGGGCGATGTGTACAATCTACATATAACAACAGAATGCAATGATTTACAAATCTCACAAACCCATATTTTATTCACAATAGAAAACATATCAAATGTTTAAACTGAGAATATGTACCATTATAAGAAACAAAAATGTGGTAATTTGATATTATACATATATGTGGTATCACTATGAATATCAGGAGTGGGGGGATTTATTTTGGTGCTTTTTTTATGGTGGTGGGTCAAGGTAAAGGAAAAAAATATACAGCTAACAGTTTGGTTTTTTGTTTTGTTTTTTTTGGGGGGGGCGGGTTTTGTTTTATTTTGGGTTTTTTTTATAATAAAAAAAAACAATAGGGTGATATCCAATAACATTTGCCACCAAATGAATGCCCATTCATCCTGAATAAAACAAGATATAATTCACCCAGATACAACTTGCAACAAGTAGATACAAATATATGTACATTGATAGGCCTCGTTCACCCTGGGCATACTGTACAATATCGTACGCCAGGGGCGTGTTTACTCACAAGGCGATGCACAGGTATTTCGTGTTTCCCCGTGCAGCCAGTCCCATTGATGTCTATTAGGACATAGCGGCTGAATGGACTCAGCCACTGTGTTCCAATATCACATGTTGCAAAGTGTATCCAGGTGAATTATACATTGTTTAGTTGTTATCGGATATCACCCTATTGTTTTCTAATTATCAAAGGAACCCCCACACACACACCCCAAATAAAAAGGAAAAAAATAACTGTTAGCTGTACATTTTTTGCTTTTACCATGACACATCATGAAAGAAAGCACCAAAATAATTGTCCTTACTCCTGATATTACTGGCAATAGCACATATATGTATAATACTTGTGGTTTGTACTTGTAGTAGAGGCAAGTGTGCACGAGACCAAACTATCACATGCCAAAGTAGGAAAACATTTTTTCCTAGTTTTACCATCTATCTTAAAGTGGTAAAAGCTTAAATGATTTTAGTGATTGGGTTTAAATCTACTTTACATGTGATCCCTGTAACCGCTTTAAGCTGATTTTAGTCAGAATGTATGGTTTACTAACATTTAAACTTTTTGCCACTGCATGACAAAAAACTGCCCATGGCACTAAGAAATATTGAACTGTTTAAGGGTTCATGCACACAGGCGGTTAGCCCATTCAGCATAAATACAAGTGTCTTTTCCCTTCCCAAGCAACTCAGGTACAGTGAACACCCACCCATAAACAGGAATAACTGTGCACTGGTGTACTCCGGTATATGGCACTACTATTGCATACACAAGTATAGCATATGGGCGTATGCAAAATATTGTACCTTTTCTATTTTTTGCATGCGCATGTACATTATATTTTATGCTAGCACTGGTCTATACCTAAATAAAGCAGTGCACAGTCATTCACTTCTTTGGAAGGTTGTTCGCCACTCCTGGGATGACTGGGTGAGGGAAGGACGCGCGCATATTTAATTTGAACAGTATCAAACAATTGTGGCAAAAAACAAAACCACCTAGGGGTGTCTACATTCCAAACAAAGGTATCTGGGGGGCTTGTACTGTCTTGACGTTTTTAATTTGTTTTATAACAGAAAGGGAAACAGTTTATTTTATTATTTTTAGTAATTTTCTTTTATATAGTAAAAAATAAAAAAAAAGTGTTTATTAAATACCACCAAAAGAAAATTCTATCTGTTCTTTAAAAAAAAAATGTCAGCCAAACTATCACAAAATGGTAATGAAGGGGTATTACAAAGTGGTTAGACATGTCCACTTTTTGGTGCAATGCTACTTTATCAATCTCTGAGGTTGATATCTTCAATCCCAGTTTTAAAGCAGTCAGGGGTTTCAGCAAGACTTTAGCTCCAGAGGATATTTACTGATCATCTTAGCAGATTTGGCCATATTGCAGATCTGGGTAGTGAGGTTGTTCAAACGAAGTCTTACTTAGCTGGTTCTCAGCTGGGCATTTAAACACCCCCATGTCCTACTGTGTCACGTTAGATCAGATGGTTGCACAGACATGAAAGAGTGTTGATTTATTCAATTTGATTAGGTTCATTTATCCTGTATGACATTATAGGTGTCTACATGACAAGGGAATGAAAAAGCAGGAGGGCAAAGTTGATTTAATAAGAAGTGATTTATTCCCTTTGTCCAACCTGGATTTTAAATGCCTCAGTGAGAGAGAGTTAAACTGCACGTCAGGGTCAAATAATAAAAAAGAGATGCAATACATTTCTGAAATACAGTGCATGCACTTTTCCCCTTCTTTATCCACAGGCCCTGCAAGTACAGAAAAATACCTGTTAATATTGGCAGAAATGCACTAAGCTCCTAATTCCCGTTGTGGGTAGACAATATGTTACCTTTTTAGACTGAAATCAAATGAAATAGTGTCAGCCCTGCTCATTTGTCTTTTGCTGAACTACGGAACACCTACCTTATCTTTATCCCCCCACAACATAGTGCGAGACTCCTTGTTATTTTACAGGCAGGAAGCAAAGAACACAGGCAGTTCTGGATTCTTGATAGAGTCAACAGGTATTGTTTTTATTATTAAAAAGATACACAAAATGCTTTCAATTGTATATTTTGTTACCAGACTGAAAGGGAGGAAATAAGAAAAGATAATTTAGGGTTTAAATATATTTTAAATCATATAAGAGTTTCTTATGGCTCAGGGATTGCAGTGTGAAGCTATTCCCAAGACTGCCCACTTGTCACAATAAATACAAGCAACCCTAGTCTCCTCTCTTTAATATCAAATCTTTTGACAATCTAAGCACACTTGAAAACTTAAAATTATAAAAAAAAGAAAATTGCCCTGAATGGTGCTTTGCATTATCACAGATTTTGTGATTTAATTTGCATATTTACATCAAGATGCATCAATTTACAAGTGTCCCACTCTCAAGAGTCGCATGTAAATGTTTTTACTAAACTGAAAATCATAAGACTGCAACAGTGGCAAAATTGTGGATGGAAGAGAACACATTCTTACAGCTAATTAAGGCTAATTGGATATAATTTTCTTTCAAATTTGCCATTGTGCTATACTGCAAACCAGCTGAGACATTATGGCATCATTCAGATGCAAAATAACAAAGTAAGCACTATGTATACTCTACATTCGTTTTTTTAAAATGGCCTAAGGTTTAAAAGCTAAATAAAAAAGCTGTAAACACGTAGCTTTTACGTTATGTGTTATGCATCATCAGAAAGAGGTAATAACAGTTTACTGCTATACTAAATTTTAAATGGTGTACAGTACATATATTTTCTTTATATAGTCAGGGCAAAATAAAATAAAGATTTTTTTTTACAAATCAGTGATCCTTGCCTCCTATCCGCTGTCTATGTTGAGAGGACTCCATCCAAAGTGTTAATCGGAGAGAGAGAAAAAGCCGGAAAACAAACAGCTCCTGCTTTGCTTTCTCTTTACAGTAGCTATATGATCTCTAAGGCCGTGTCATGGTAGCACCCTGTATTAAATGTTTATTTTGTTATATAAAGATTTTTTTTAGCAATGGTAAAAAGATATTTTGGAAACTTTCATGAACGTAAAAAAATTAATTTAAATTAGGGGGGGGCGCATGCGCGGCATCACGGGAGACAGCCGCATGTAGCGGAAGCTCCATCCTTGCTCAGCTTTATACCATCTCTCCGGGGCCACACTATCCCTCGTTTCGGCCCGTAATCAGATGACCACCCCCCGGAGATCTTCCTGCATGCTGTCGGGGAGGAAAAAAGCCAGAGGGACAGCACAAAAATCCCTCACAACCTATCTGCTCAGGACACAGGAGCTCTGCAGCATGGCACAAGATGGAGCCGTAGGAGCATCCCCATCCCAGCTTGCACAGGACACAGCCATTCATCCACCTGCACAAAACAGTGAGTACACACAGCAGCTTTCAAAGGGGGACTTGGAGGCTAGTTTGGAATCTATGTACACTAAATTGGCTGCTAGACTTCAGTCGGAGTTGCATAAAAGTACAAATGTCCTTTC